AGTAACATACTTTAATTCGATTCATATTTTAGGTAATGTGTTTTCAAAACTTCCATTTTTGATACATAAGATGTAAAGTTTTAAACATTTAAATACCTGGGTAATCGGTTGGAGACTAATTCTAGATTTAAAAAAATAATGTCACTAACCACGTCAGCAAATAATATTGAGTTGGATACCACATCATCCGACATATCAGCATGATAACTGGTTAATGTTTCAACAAGTTATCTGAATACTTAAATGTTTAAAACTTTATATCTTAAATACCAAAATAAAATATTTAAAAATACGTTACCTAAAATAAAAATCAAATTAAATTACTAAGTTTATATATATTTTTTGGTTTTGGGCATTGACTTCAAGTCCACCCATCAATTGCAAGGAAGCTTCCATCCTTACTCGGGAAGCTATCAGCTATGTACCAGCAAGGGTATTTCCGGCAACATATTATTTACTTTTTTAAAGTATTATCGTCATAAGTTTTCCGAAATGGAATATTGGAGTTTAAAAGCTGTAAAAATTTTAACTTTAAATTTTGTTTTATTAATTATATTATTAAAAATATTTTATATATTTAATAAAATATAATTTCTTTCTTCTAAACATTTTATTTTAATATTTCTTTTATTAGTTTGAAATATAATAAAACATAATTTCTTTTTTATGGTAATTGTTTTTAAAGTGTTTTTTATATTTACAGAAATTTACATATTTTTTCTGCTTTCTCTATTTTGAAAAATCTGTTGGAGCCTAAAATTAACTAAAATCCATAATTTCTCCATTTTGAAGAATATGTTAGAGATACTCTCTCACATACTATTTCTTTTATGGAAAGAGAGTAAAATATTTTGGATGATATCCTTATATATTGTTATATAGACTTGGGATCATGTGAGACCAAATGTTTTTCGTGAGACCCGTAAGACCAATTTTCAACCCTTGGATTAAATCTACAATCTGAACATTCATAATCACAAAATTGTCATGAGACTTCTCAATAATTACAAAATTGCCACCATGCAACTTTAGACCATTGGATCATTAGCTTATAAAGTTGATCAATGAACATAAATTGATCTTACGGGTCTCACGAAAAATCTTGGGTCTCACGTGAACCTAACCCTTGTTATATATATATATATATATATATATATATATATATATATATATATATATATATATGGGAATATGTGAGAAAAAGAATTTTGTTAGAAATGTGAAAATAGTGAAGATATCATTATATTGTAATGATACATTAGGTAACTAATTTAATTAATTATTTTAAAAAAAAATTAATTAAATTTTTTGATTAGTTATCAAAAATATAAAAACTATATTATCTTTTATCTTATTTAAAAAATATTCTTAAATATCTCAAATGAATGGTTCACATTGGATCTCACTCTTACCATAAACTAATCAGTTATTCCTTAAATAAACCATATACATATGTGTGTATGTGTCTATACTATATTATAAAACATTTGACAAAAACTCTTAAAACCCATTTTTTATGCATGAAGTACTGTTTATTGATGCATATTACTTAAAATTCAAGATTACAAGTAAATTTTGTATAAATACAACTTATTAAAGCTCTATGTTTGAATTCGTGTAACTAACTGCGGATAAACATAATCAAATAGAGAATACACATATCATTTTAAAATATAAAAAATCTAAAATATAATTAAGATAATTATAGAGTTCTAACAGAATACTTAATTATTATCTTTATAAAAAACATATTATTAAACCTAAATTAAGTTACTTCGTTACGATAAATTAAATTTGAATTAAAAAAATACACAAATAAAAACTTTTAAATAGTTAATTTGATACTAATATTGATATATTTTTTTTGCAAATTTTGTATGATATTTTTAAATTTATATTTTATTAAAAAATAAAAGCATTATTACTTTTTCGAAACCACATAAAATCGTATTATATCGATATAGATAAAAAATAAATCGAAATATGTCCTGATGAATTGCACGAATAGCCTTCTAGTATTTTCTAATCAGATAATGATATTAAAAAACCGCACATTTCATATTAGAAGAAAAAAATTATTATTATAAAATTTTTATTAAATATTTAAAATAGAACTTCGAAAGATAATTTTATAATTTCATTTTAATTGTGAGTTCATAACGTTTATGAATTTATGAAACTATGAGTGATGTGATTAGCTATATCTATAAAAATGTAAAATCTAAAGCTAAAAGTGTAAAATCACAAAACAAAAAAAAATGGAAAAAAATCACGTCTTACAAAAGACACCCGGCGCGATGTGCCATGGCATGAGACACACCTTACAGATTCGCTATGAGTAATTTCATAACGTCGAAGACACGTCTTGCGTCATATCACGTCATGACTCACACCATGGCACGCCTTTTTGAACATTGTTAATAACTCATGAACCGGTCAATCGCCGAAAAAGAATTGATTTGGAGGTTTATAAATGTGTCTGAAAATTTGATTTAAAGGTTTATAAATTTGTTTGAGGGGTAAGAAACCGACGGGTTTGAGGGAGGGGGAGAGGAAGCGAGAGAGTTGGATTGTTAATTTGTTTGAGATGGCTTAATGGAGGCAAGCAACATTTGCTCCACATACCCATTTTGGCTTAACGATTAAGCCTAAAAAACTCTTATATGTCTGAGCGAATAAGTCGTCCAGACCATTAAGCTTATTAAGCTGTAAGTAAACAACCCAAGCTAATTCAGAAAGTTACGAGTGAAAATATTGCAAGACTTCTGTTGCCGAGCAAATTAAAAAATTGTGTAACGAACCAACATGTCAGCTCTGTGATAACAAAGAACACGAGAATAGAAGATCAATTACATTCACAAAATGAACAAATCAAGTAACAAGATGTTAATTAAACCGTGGATATAAGCTATGCCATAATTCATCGGACTACACATCTTCATCATATCATTAACAGTAAAAAAAATAGCCTCATCTAAATGCTATACAGGTGATATTTAGGGGCCGTTTACCAACACAAATTGGGCAAAGTGTTAAACCGGATAAAAGTGCGGTTTGGGTCAGCACTGATCACTAACCGAGAAGAGTCCCTCCCTGATTTACCAGGTCAGTACCTCAGTTAGCATCATGGACAGGTAAGAGGGACTCAGCAGCATTGGTAAGCAGGTAGTAAACAGCCTCTTCCTCTATGATGCCCTTCTATTAAAAAGCATGAGGTAGGGAAAACCAGGGACAGAAAAGGCAAAGAATGACGTTAGGAATAAACCATACAACAATTCAATAAAAAAAATGCAATGGATCGCTTGATTCAGTCAAGAACAACAAAAACCCTAAGGGACTGTTTGGCAGTAGCTGAATGGTTTGGTGCAGAATGATTAAATGGTCAGAATGGTTAATAGGCTCTCATGATATAGTATAAAATTAAATATAATTGTTTACTAATTGTTTACAATGAAATTATGACGCTGAATGGTTAAGGGAGGTCCAGGATACAAAATCATTCAGAGAGTTTTAGAACCTTTCAGAGACGGATTTTTTTTTGCCAAACAAGATTCACCTCTTAACGATTCCGAGGCTGTTTCTTAAGGGTGCGTTTGGTGCGCAGACAGGACTGGACTGGACAGGACAGGATGGGACAGGACGGGACAGGACAGGACAGGACAGCTGTTCAGCGTTTGGTAAGACAGGACATGACAGGACTGGACTGGTTAAAATGACCAATTTACCCCGTGAGCTGTTTAGTGTTTTTTCACTACGAAATCAAGTAAACTCTCATAATCAATTCAGCAATTATAATCAATGTAAACCAATTCATCAACAACAACATTCAGCAATCATAATCAATTCAGCAATTATAATCAATGTAAACCAATTCATCAACAACAACATTCAGCAATCATAATCAATGTAAACCCTAAATCGATTGCTGTAATCCTCTTAGCATAAACAAGCTGGTAAAAATGTAGTTGCTGTAATCCTCTTAGCATAAACCCTAATTAACGAGCTTTTGCATCTAAATCGATTCAAACCTAGCAAACCCTAAATCGATTCAAACATAGCGATGGAGAAGGAGAAGGTTAGAGCAATCATGTACCTGATGAAGGAGAAGGTAATGCGATGGAGGCGGACTGTGTGTATGGACTAGAACTCCCGTCGCCGTCGAGATGGAGGGTGTCGTCGCCGTCGAGATGGAGGGTGTGCGATGGAGGGTGTCGTCGCCGTCGAGATGGAGGGTGTGCGATGGAGGGTGTCGTCGCCGTCGAGATGGAGGGTGTACGATGGAGGGTCGCCGATTGAGGGTGTGCGATGGAGGGTCGCCGATTGAGGGTGTGCGATGGAGGGTCGCCGATTGAGGGTGTGCGATGGAGGCGCATCTCCGGGAGACGAGATTGAGACGCTGTGAAGGGGATGAAGAAGACGGTGGAAGGGATTGAGGGTAAAGGGGTAAAAAATTCCTTGTTCTAGTTAGTTCCAGGGGTAAAGGGTGGACTCCCGTGTCCCACTCTTGTTCTAGTTAGTTCTAGTTAGTCCCACATAAAGCCATAACAAACATGGAACAAGTGTGTTCTGTTCTGTCCTGTCCCACCCTGTTCTGCCTACCAAACGCACCCTAATGGAACTACTAAGAGGTAAACAAACAACCTCTAAATCTTTCTAGGTGACCGAGCATATGAGATAATATAAAGCATTACTTACGTGGGAGTAAAACACAGAAAAGACAAACCTTCTTCTGCTGCAATTGGGTAAAAGGCATCTGCAGGACATGACATAACTTCCTACGCATCCCTACAAGCAATAATATTGCATATTTTCTTTTAGAATTATTCAAATACTTTCCTATTTTCTTTCTTCTTTCTCTTCCTCCCTTTTTGCTCACACTTTTGCACAAGTTAGGGATCTTTACAAAAACAACCGCTCTATAATTTGGGGTGGAGGCCAGGTCTGCATATATCTCAACTCCTTCCCCCCCCCCCCCCCGGCGGGGCTGACGAGTGGGATATACTTGGATCGCTTGGTTTAGAATAAATGGTGTTGAAGACAAGAACGGCATCTTATTTACAAGTATGAATTAAGTAGGGCATTAACATGGGATCTTGAATAATGGTGGGGATATTTCGTTCCAGAATACGAGTAATGCACGGTTGAGTATGGATATAACAACAGAAATCAAGCATCAGAGTAACACCTGACTATCCTCCTTGATTATTTAATTTTACCCTGCTGAATTCAACAAATTGCTAGCAACCTGAAGAAAACAGGAAACTTAAGACTGGAAGAGACAAACATACAGTCAGTATTAAAGGAATTAGAAGGAAACACAAATAAACTATGGAAAGAACTGGAAAACTAGTAAATATGATTGTTCCCACAAGACAGCTAATATCCAACAAGAACTCCAAAACTGAAAGTTCTAAATGGCGTTAAACTTAAAGGATCAAAATTTTCTAACTTCTTCACCGAAAGGTTGAATCGGTTTCAAGAAAATTGCCAAGAACGCTACAGAGAACAATGTTCAAGACATGAAAGTGCAGGCTCATTAAGATTATTTCTACTTTATGGAAATACCAAAACAAACACCACATCAGAAAGCATATATGCTTCCAATCATGTTTAAACCAGGTTGCGAGTGTCAATCAAGGTTAGTTACTTATTCAGTCTGTTGATATGGTATGGTTATCTCCAGCATTTATGCAGATTGATATAAAGTAGTGACAGAAAAAAAAGATCTAGAAATCTGAATATATTCATTCAATTATGAGACAGAACTTCATCACAAGTTTAGTATTTAATATATACATACACATTGATATAGAGTCGGGTTCATATGAGAACAGTACCTATTTAAGAAAATAAGAGAATGGTCGAGTTACATGCAATTTTACACTAACATCATGTACAAAATCACATGTGATTCACGCGGCCATAGGGTAGCCCGCACGCTTTTTTTGCCGTTAATGGAAACTCACATGTGATTTTTTACGTGATTTGGCCATTCTCTTATTTTCTTAAATAGGTATCATTTCGTATGAACCTACCTCTATTGATATATATGTATATATAGTTAGTTAGTTAGTTAGTCAGAGCTTACAGGTTAAGTTATTACATAAATTTCACATAGTTGAAGATTACATAAGTGTATCCTGTAGACGGCAAATCATGGGAATGGAACAAAAATAGAAGACATGCATCTACTTTGATTACATGCAAACTTACGAAAATGCATTGCTTGTGTACTCACCTTGGTGCAGGATGCAATATAACTCGTCTCCCCATGCTTGCATCATAAGATTCTCAAACACCACTTCAATAAGCACTGATGATCATATTCACAACAATGTGAGCATATTGTTTGATATAGACTCTGATTCCAGCCACAACTTCACAAATCCAAATCTCACAAGAAAGTGATAGTATTAGTCTTGATCCTTCTTATACCTGGTTTTCTTGTTATAATTGGATCCAAACCATCCTTCTATGAGTGCATCAGTAATATTTATGAGTGAGTGAATGATATGATTCAGTCTCCTTCTACGAATATACGTTTGTATATATGTGCGTGCATGTGTTTTAAGCATACCTGTTCTGCTTACAAGAAAATTCTTTGGATTTTCTTTGCAACTATTTTGTCTTCTAGAGGCTACCCATTCCAAGAAGTTCTCCCCTCAGCTTGTCTGCTAGTTCCTTGTTTCCTTCTTTTTCATAACCATCAATAAAAGCACGATAAATCTCTGAATTCGGTTCATATCCTCTTCCGACCATTTCTGCTTGAAGCTTCATACCATCTTCCATCCTCCCCTCATTACACAAACCCTTGATAATGAACTCATAGCTTTCACCCTTCATAACCACATTGTTTCTCTTCATTGTAGCTCGTGAAATCTTTAATGCTTCAGAAACCTTATTCTTATCACAAAGTTCCTTAATCAACACATCAACGGTACGCCCGATTGGCATAAGCCCTTTCCTACAAATATCCTTGTATAAGAGCACTGCCGAATCAACATCCCCAATTTTACAATACCCATTTATCAAATGCTCATATGTGACACAAGTACTCTCTTCCCCACCCAATCCCATTTCTTTGAAGAATTCCTCAGCCTTATGAACCTCTCCGGCTTCACAAAACCCACCGATTATGGTGTTATAAGCCATAACATCATGCTTAAAACTCTTGTTCCCCATTTCTTCCCACACTTTCATGGCGTCCTCCATTCTTCCATTATCACAATAAGCCGCTATTAAAATGCTGTAACTGTATGCACTAGGCAAGCAATTGTTTACAATCATATCACTCCACACTCGTTCTAAGTTCTCAACTAATCCGTCTCTATAGAAAGCATGCATAATTATGTTATATGTATGTACATTAGGAACAACGCCTTTGAAACAAACAACATTTTTATCCACAACTTTGCTACTGGACCCAAGAAGCTCGTTGTAGATCGCATACCCAGCAACGCTCCCATGGTGTTTAGAGACGGACATAATTAAAGAATTACAAGTGCTGATCATTGGATATATACCTTTGGAGCGCAACATTCGTGCAATCTCGATACCCTGATTAATTCGTTTTGATTGGAGGCACGCTTTGATCAGCAAATCGAACACGAATGGTGCAGAATCACATATTCTGTAAGTTTTAATTAAAGCTCCAAAGATCGAAGGTGGAGTATTAGAGGGTAAATCGGTATTAGCATCAGAGAATTTGCGAATTGCGGATTGAATCAGACTTAGGGCACGAGATTTTTGGCGGGAACGAGCAAGGGTATGAATGATGGTGGCATAGGATAAAAGAGAATGGTGGCAGAGAGAGTGTTCGATAGTGAATAGAAAAAAACGGAGGGCTAGATGGGGATTGTTGCGGAGTTGGATGGTGATTTGAGAAACTTGGGAGGGATCGAAACCGGCGGGGAAGAGCGTGCGGAGGTGGGTCCATCGAGATTTGGATCGATGGTGTTTGAGGATGGAGACAGCGGTGATGACGGCAGTTTCATCCTCTGATGATGGTGGTGAAGAGGCAGAGGAGCAAATGTTGAGGGATCTGATAGGGGACAAGAACACAGTGCGTTTGGATACAGTATAAAACAATGCCATTGATGAGGATTTGAAGCCTGTTTGAGCCTCACTCAGCATCATCGTTGGTGGAATACTGGGAAAATTAGAAAGATAAGAGTCAGTACTTAATCGATTTCCTGGTATGGTATTGCAACGGATTCATGAAATTCCGATGTTGTTGCATCCATTTCAAATGTTAAGCTCATATGCATACACCATAGCACCCAAGCCTACTTCATCATTAAGGTATTATCTATACAATCAAGTGTTCAATGCAACAACACAAAAGGCATCAAGATTGCACACAATAAATTACTGCTATAACCAAGGGCGGAGCCAGGAATATTGTCTAGGGTGGTCCTCATTAATAAAACAACAAAACAAAAATATAATGATATTATACTGATAGTCAATCAAAAAAATAAATGTATATAACTACATTACAAAAGTAGAGCACTAATCTTTACTGATTCAACAATGATGTCGATAGTTTTCATTTCTGAAATATATCAATGATACATTCATCATCAAACACGCCTTGTTTAATATAAAAACCAAGTTATCATTCATATATAGTTAAAAATCCATCCACGGTTGTCAAGTATCCTACACAATTTGCAAACACCGGCAATTGTCAAACATCCTAACAGATAAAATTTAGGATTTTTGGCAGAAAACTCAGTTTATCAATTAACAGTTGATACTAAGCTTAGAGCATCTCCAACTTTGGCACCAAAATAAACATCAAAAACACTAACTATGGTGAAAAACTCAACTACATTATAGTAGTGTTTGGTACACAGACTGGTCTAGATAGGACAGAATGGGACGGGACAGGACTAATTGTCTGTCTTATGTTTGGTACGACTAGGACATGACAGGACAAAACTGTTAAAATGACCATATTACCCCTAAATGTTGTTCAATGTTATTTTATATCATATAATGATTGAAAAATGACAACAAATCAACCAAAATATATTTTAATTACATCGTTTTTATAATCAAGTTTAATACATTAAATATAAATCCAAAAAAATGACAAAAGGGTGTTGACGAGCCAGCCCGGCAATCGCACTTAAATATTACCCATTTTGACTTGTTATTCAACCCACCTTTTTTAACATTCCAAGACCACATGTAAATAACATTTGTCATACCACAAATTCACTTGTAACATTTGTCACGACATTATCAAAAGTTTAACATTCCAAGACCACATGTCAAATGTACCAAAAATTATCACAAAAGGACAATCGTTTTCCTGATCTCCTAAAATATGTCAAATACTCGGGTGTCTATTACTACCGGCAGCTTCATTGAAATACATGCTGCCAAGTAGATAGTAAGTATGAACAACAACAAAAATCTCCTAGCTTCATCTAAAACTATATGTAGAATCATCCTTTCAATGAGTATCCTTTCAATAATTTGGATAGTAAACAACTTGTTGAAAATAGGCTTCAAAATTGTTAATTATATTGTTGATGCTCATTAGTAGCCCACAAGTGCATGAACAGAAGCAATGTTGGAAATAGCCTATTCTTCATGAATAGAAGCAATGCTGGAAATAGGCTTTATGGAGAGTAATCAACTTGCTGGAAATAGGCTTTAGTGCATGAACAGAAGCCATTTTAAGTATATTGTTGATCCTCATTACTCTGGTTCTGAATATTGGGGGGATGCAATCCTAACCTCATGCTTTCTTATCAATGGTCATGAATATTAGTTTTATAATACGGTTCTAAATTCGAAACAGAAACATACTTACTTCCATTTGTAAAAAGCAAATGTATTTTAATACAGAAACATAGTCCATAACCTATTTTCAAGAAAACACCATTAATTAAGAAGAGAAATCAAAACACCATTTTCAAGAAAACACCATGTGAGAATCATTGGTTTTTGCAAGAATGCAGGCAAAGAAACGGAAATCGTACGCAGGCAAAGAAATGAGAGGAAGAAATGGAAAAATCATACCGACTGTAGAGGAGAGGAGGCGATGGAGGCCGGTCAGGGCCGGTCCTGAGATTTTGGATGCCCATGGCGGAAAGCCAAAAAAATGCCCCTTATATGTGTATATAAAACCAAAATAAACTATTTAAAGGGGTTTGGAACCTAGTCAATAGAATCCTGTAAGCAAGCAAGACATGTGGATACATGTCCATCTTCTTTGCAAACTCCATAATTTGTATGGATGTCCAAGGATTTCTCCGAACAGCCCCCAAAACAGCTCCTAAACAGCCCCTGAACAACCCCCAAAACAACTCCTAAAAGGCTTCTAAACAGCCCCCAACAGCTGGAAAAGGTTTTAAGTAAAACCTTCATACAACTTATAGATTATATATATCTAAACAGTAAACACAAAGTGAAATTCTAAACAGTTAGAAAACTGAACACTATCAAGAAATAACAAGACAACCTATAGGACCAAAATAAAATTTTATTAAGGTGAACTCTCCAACACTACAGAAGCATATGCACTTAATCCCCAAGATTGAATTGGTTTTGATGTGAATTCTCTTAAAAGAAAATGTGCCATTGCAAGCAGTGTAGGAGTCGGATGTCTTGGTGTATTCTAGTTAAGAAATTATGCTCAATTGTTGAAAAGGGTATTTTACTTTTTCTACTCTTCTAGGTCATCCTAAAGTATTATTAGTGTTCTCTTTGTACCGTAACATCTTGTAACATTTGACTTAAGAAATTAGTTTATTGAGTAACTATTACATGCCTAAGAGGCCGTTTGATAAGCTCTTAACGTTTGATAATTAAAAACGCCGGTGCTGATTCAGTCAGCATGTTTCCCCCTCCCTAAAATACTCTACAAGGATATGATAGACTGAGGAATCTTATATACCATAACCGATGCAATGAATATTATGTGATGACGATAATGGACAAATAGATAAATTTAGCTCCTCTGTTCATAATAGATTCTATGAATAGTTTTTAACTTTTTAACACTAATAAAGTTCTATGTGTACTCATCTTTCATACAAATACATCTTTAAAACTCCTATTCACCAAACAAAATGCACATTCTACAAGATAAAACGTTTCCTTAATGGCAACCCACCAGCCACCATTAGAAGTGTGAAAATGGTTTAAACAGGTCATAGGTGCACCAAGAATCAACAAGCAGGACAAATTATTGACTTAGGGTTATTTTATGTTTCTAAATTCTAACAAGTTTATAACTTATAAGTCATATCACATATGCATCACCTACGGTCTACCTTAACATAAATTAGGGGAGTAACAACTAACAAGCAACAACCCTTACTTGTCAGTGTCGCATCGCAGAGCGGCAGAGAGAGTGAGAGTTCGCAGAGAGAGTCGACAGTCGAGAGCCGAGAGGCCGATTGGCCGTTGGCGATTGAGCGCCAGCCACCGGTCTAGGGTAGAGCGACGACGCCGACGAGAGTCGAGAGAGATGAGTCGTGGCGTGAGCGATGGAGCGGTCAGCAGATCAGTGGTCACCATCATATTTTTAGGCCCAATCCAAACTGAACCTACATATTTATAAATGGGCTTTACAAAATGATGTCCTTGGGTTGTTTGCTGCCTTGGGCCTACGGTGGAAGAAGACACAAGTACCGTTTACTAAACGCTTGTCCGTATAAATATGGTAAAGACCAAGAATCTTACTCGGTAAAAGCAAAACAAGGACCAAGAGTCTTACCCGGTAAGTGAGGGCAATGACTCTTACCACGATAAACGCTTACCGGGTAAATTGTTGCATACGATGTCGTTTTGGTGGACTAAAATCTTATCCGGTAAATAAATAATAGTGTTAAACTTTACCAGTAAGCACTTACCGGGTAAGTGTTTGGTAAACGACCCCTGAATCTATACTTATATAGTTATGTTGGGTCACTTCCTGATATCTTTAAATTGGTTTTTACTTTGATTTTTGGTTGAGAGTTTTTCCAAATATCAATTTTTAGTCCTACCAAATAGGGTTGTTAAAAAGACTGTTAGACTGCTCATATTGGTCAAACAAAGTGAATTATGGACTTTTTTTTGGTGGTTTCAACAGTCTAACTGTCCGGTCCAGTTTAAAAAATCGTCAAATCGTTCGGTTCAGTACAGTCTACAGTTTGAACATTTTTGCGAGTGGTTTGGACCAAATTGATCACCAAAATACACGAGCATTAATAACTTTAGTTTTCTTGTTGTAGACTGAAATTTTATTCCGCAATAAGAAAGAAAGCCCAATTAAGACATTAAGGGGGCGTTTGGTTCGTAGAATGGAATTGGAATTCATCAAATGAATTTGAATTTAAGGGAATGGAATGAAATCTGATGGAATTTGACCATGCCTTGTGATTGCGTTTGGTTGCATGGAATTGGATTAGGGAAGGAATCTGTAGGAAAGGAATTGAAAAATCCTAGCATATTGCCATGTAATTGTAAAATCTGTGCATGAAGGAATCGACTGGAATTGAAAGGATTCTATAGTCTTATTCCATGAACCAAACACTCTATTTGGAATTTGGTCAAAGGATTGGACATTCCAATTCCTTTCAATTCCCATGATCCAAACAGCCCCTAAGTTTTTAGTTTTCACTTCTCCATTGTCCCCGTTTTCTAAATCGGCAAAATACTGAAATCCATCAAAAATCAATATCTAAAGTTCCAAAATCGTTGTTCGACTTGCTCAATGTTTGTCCAAAATTCAATTATTGTTGATGGACCTGTTTAACTTTTTTTTTTCAACTTGCTCAATGTTTTTATTTTTATTTTTGGAGATACATATTTTTTATAATTCTATATATAATTTTCGGTAATGTTGTATTGGTAGAAATCTCTTTTTAGAGATATATATATAAGTATACAGTTAAATTGGATTCGGTTGGATGATATTTTTTTAGTATAAAGCCCATAATAATGTAACACCTAGAATTTTTAATCATTTTGTGACTTTATATTCTGCTTCTATTTTAACCTTAAATTACTTCTTTATCAAGTTTCATCATTGGAAAATGATATGTAGGTGGTGTTTTTTTTAAACTCTTATTTTACCACTTATGTCTGATTCGGTCAGACATAAGGCGATTCAGACCGTTTGTTTTTCTTTTTCTTTCAGAGCCACTTATCACTTATTTTCCTCTTAAAAATTAAGTGATAATCTGGCCACTTATTTTCCCCTTAATCCTGAAGACTATCCAGAGAACCGATTTTTACTTCATCATTCGATCGACTTCACCCTCCATCGCCTCTGGTGGTTTCAAATCGACCCAAATCAAGAGGGTTTTCTTCTCTGTGGGTATTCGCCACTGTGTGTTTTCGTTCTTGTGCAAACCAGTAGTTGTGCACCTTT